AAAAGACTGAGCTGTTGGGCATTACTAACATTTTTTCAGTTGTCAATAGAGGAGGAAATCTGTCATTGATTTGAAAGATTATACCACTGTTTGTGGCTTCAGCATGAGTGGGTTACCACCAGGGACAAAAGCACTGCGGCGCCCAAGTGATGAGCGATACAATACCGCTGCATGCTAATCTGGCTCCTAGCGAAAAGACAACAGCCACACGCTGTGCCAGTTTCAGGAACAAAAGAAACTTACGTAGCACCACACAATCTGGGCTCTTTTTACCAGGCGACAGGCCTGGCTTCAAATTCTACCCAGCAGCAAATAGTTGAGTAAATCAGTGTGCCCTTACGCATCAGTTCTACCAAACCTTCTAATCAAAGTTTCTGCTATTTTGATACCCCCAGGTGTGTGCGACAATCTGCAGTCTCCGTCAGCCCGCTTGGTAGTCGGCAGGGTGGTTACCGGCGGCACTGGCTGCTTTGATCTCATTCAGCCACTCGGGTAGTTTTTCCCACTGTCGGATGATTGGTTACTTGCAAACTGATTGCTTATGAAACATGCAAAAATAACATCCGATTGTTGTGAAGATTTTAGTATTTTAACCTGAAAAGTCCACATTGTTTGTTCCTTGTTTGACTGGAAAAAAGCCAAAAGTGAGGCAGCAAATGTTAATAAGATTACCCAAAATTTATATTGCGATGGCACTGACTGAATAGTTGGTATCTTTAAGCCAGCATTTGTGCATTAGTGAACACACAAAAATGAATATCGGAATAATGAGTTTAAATATCATATATTCTGATTTAAAGATATAGTTTATATAAGGATTTCTTTACTTTTCAATTTAGGTTTAATAAAGAATCATCATGCAAAATAAAACCAGTAACCATATCTCTTTCGTTTATTTAGTTTTGAGAGAAAAACATCAAATTTTTGGTTGTTTACACACTGGAATGTTGCGACATTCTCACTGTAATCTAACTCTATTACAATCTCTTGTTTTGAACATGCACACAAAAAACTGTGGAAAATATAAATAAGGCATCTTTATGAATTTAAGGAGAGACCAAGTATGTACAAGTTAAGAAGAACAAAAGGTAGTTTTCCAAGCTGCATTTCATAAGTAAACAAAACTTTGGCCACGACAGTTCATATTCACCGATCTCCAACAAAATGAGTCCCACCATTTCAGGCCATCCACCTCCGCAATATCATTGACACAGGAGTTTGTATTTGATCGGAAATTCTTGATCACTTCAGTCTTTTCGGTTTTATGGTTTATCAGGCCTGCATAAAATACAACAATAAAAAGGTCTCAGTATTCTTTCAAACATGTGCCGCTCATATTGTTGGATCGGTTCAAATAAAATCTAACATACAGCACACGGGCTTAAGCAAGATAAATCAGTGTTTTCCTGACTGTTGAGAAAAAGCTTGGAAAAAAAAAAGAGAAAACTACCTTGACCCTTTGTGCTGACTCTAGCAATGCTTTACGGTAAATAAATATAAAAGTGCTATCAAGCTTTGGTGTCAGTTTTCCTCATCCTTTGGTATCCTCATCAAGGCAAAAAGAATAGAAGTTACATATCATTCTGATAGTGAAAACCTCATAACCTCTGCATCATCAGTGAATCTGTAAAATAATATGACTACATATTCTTACGGTAAATTGAGGGCACTCGGCTTTGGCCCTCTAGAGACCGACAATTTCAGTTGTGCACGTGCATGTAACTATCAAGATTGGACAATTTTTTGGTTTTAGGAGAACCAACCCGTTGCAAGCTTCCCAAATTTTTCACAGTGCAACCACAAAATCAAAGTAAAAAGTTCTTGTTCCAAAGCTGATTGCAAACCTTGGAGAGCAGCATGGTGTCCGTTTTGTGATATACCATGTACACTCTGATAGACTTCCATGGACTTACAATTTATCAGTTTAAGTCTGAACATCCACAAGTGAAAAGTGAAATCGTTGATGTCCGTACGTTCAGTGGACATACCTCTCTGGTACTGCGCACTAGTAAGGTATGAAATTTCTCTAAAGAAATCTGGAGCTCGATAACTCCCCAGCTTGGGCCTGGTAACTTTTACTTTTTTCCTCTACAAACACTGAATTTCTACTTGGCACTGGCTATGACTTTGGCTTCTTTTTTTGCCCTTTGTGCACCACAGTGGACAGCCATAGCCAAAAATACAATCACTGCCCATTTCAGACATTGCCTCGCACTCCCCGAGAAACATAGGCATGGCTCGGCATGCTATCTGCCCCCATTATCACCTATCAGTCACACTCAGGGGGAGTAAATTGAGTTTACTCCTGCAGACTTTATCACACATCTGCCTGTGCGGCATCGATAACCACAGTGTGCACAGCTGAGAATAGGCTCAGACAGTTGGCTACAGTGCCCAGATGAATCACAGGCAACAGGGACTGTGTGATTTATGCGGGGCGTCAACATTCTGTTGTTTGCACTGACAGAATGTGGAGCATGAAACAAAAGTCCCAGAATATTTGTCCTGGCTTTCTGTCCTGTTTTTTCTTTGTTTTTTCCATGTTATGTTACAAACTTCACTGGTATTCATCAGTAAAGCCTATATCAGCAAGCTGCTTAATGGACAACACAGACAAAATTAAGTTAGTAAGCAAAAACTGGTTGAAACTATTAACAGGCAAGATATCTCACTGCAGGAAGCTATTTTATGCTATTAAACAAGACTTTTCTGGGCTCAGCAAATCTGGGGGTCAGTTTCATTTCCCAATTTTCTTCCCTTCAAAATGTTCAACACAAACTGCTGTTGTGTAATTTGGCAACCAGAATTAGAAGCCATTACTGCAGTTTCACAATGCTCCTAGACGGGAGACACCGCGTAGCGGTATCTTTTCTTCTTCAACTTAGGCTGCATCCAAATCTCTTATCTAGGTCTAAGTCTTCCCTCCATTGGAAATGCGTGAAGATGCATAGACAATAGACCTAGCCGTAGCTCTGGAAGCCCGTTTCGGACATGGCCTTAGTTTTGCTTATTGTTCATGGTCGGACACTGCAATGCCAGTGAGCTTTTGTGATGGAAACAAGCCGTCTGATGGATTGCTTTGTTAGTCAATGATCTGTGGTGAAATTTCATTTATTCCCTCTCTTCCTGTAAAACCGGGGTTTTCACAAGAATGTGAAACACGTAATTATGACGCCAGCGTTGACCTGAAGGTCATCCTGATGGTCATTAGCTCAGAAAGGCTTTTTAAGCCCAGATTCTAAAACTTAAAAATCTGGGTCGCTGTGATTTTTTTTTGTCACAGTGATTTACTATGTAACCAAAAGTCCAGTTGATATTCAAATAGTGCAGAATTTAGTAGGGTTTAATGGTGTCGATAAAAATCAGTTATGTTATGTCAAGGATGGATACTGGCTTCCAATGACAATGTTGCATACAATGGCTCCATATCACTTAAAAAACTCTTCTACTTCTGGCTTTATCATGCGTGTCATTACTAACGTCCATTGCAAAAATAGATGTGGGGTATATCTTCAGGAAAACACGAAATATTTTCAATAGTTTATGTTGGAACATGCAATGCAGCATCTCCATGTGAGACTACGGCATGCACAAGTATTGAACACTGGCTACAGCTATCCACCGCTGCCTCTTTTAATCAAATTTCGAAGCCGTAGTCGCAGGAGACAGGGCAGTATTATGGCTACCCCTGTCATGCGCCGCCAAATCACGACAGGGTGTCGTGATTTGCCAAATGCATGCGCGCGCACGTCAAGCTGAAGAAGGTGCGAGTGATAACCGTGCCGCAGCAGTTACGGCAGCCACTCAGATTAGTTTATAAACAGCTTTCTCATTACTGTAACCTGAATTATACAAAAAAAATCAGAGGGTCTGATGTTGTGATCCTAGTAGAGGCTTTCTCAAAGGTGAAACACCCTGTGGTTTTTCTCCTGCCAGAACAGCAAGACCTTACTACTGACAACTCGCTGCCAAATGCCAATACTGATGGGTGTTCACATGCACGTGGAACTGGGGGTTTTTCCTCTCTCTCTGCTGAGATGCTGCAGGCTAGCTAGTTCTTGCCAGCCATTTTTCAATGCAAATGCGCAGGCTAAAATGCCAGAGCTCAAAAATGTTAACTAGATGTTTTGGCTCAAAACCTGTTGTTGCCACAAAAATATTTCTACACTTTTCAAAGGGCTCATTTTTTTTTATAACAACAAATTGGCCCAAGGCCGTCTCACCATAAACGCCCACTCCTTGAGTATAAGGAAATGAAACCTTGCCGTTGTTTTGATGACCACTTTCTCACTTGTAAAAACATATTTCTGGCTTGCAGCTAATCTAATTTACGAGTGGCTGTCTCCACTAACTGACTTTCAGGGAAAAAAAATCAAGAGCAAAACAACATGTTATAGCCTATAAAAACAGCGAGCAAAGTGTGGGGTGGAATGTCAAACTATGTGGTTCCCTCTATCAAAATGAGGAATATTCAATAGGTCATGGAAGCTGTTTGAGTAAACACCATTTTGAATATTCACCACTGACTCAGATCAGTCAATAATTCCTTTATCGCTCATCAGAATGCCGCATCAAATGCATGAAAAAATAGATTTTTGTTCGCTCATCTCAGATCTGTTTGTAACACATACATGTACATGTACGTGTACAAATTCAGTGCTATTTGATCCCAGGGGAAGCACTGCCAAACATTACAAATCATGCCCATCCAGCATATAGAATTTTTCGTTTTCACCATGTTCCTCATTTTGCTGGAGCTAGTCAAACAGATCACTCTACCTCGAAACCTTGAACTCCCCCCCCATCAGTGAGACAAGTTTATCAGGCATACCTAGCTGGTGAAGCAGACGCAACCCATAACGGATGACCTCCCCGTATCACTGACCCAGGCCAGACAGCCTGACTCGGCCATCCGTGCACCTGTTAGTGAGCAAACGCTTTTTGTTTCACAGCAAACGTTGGTTTGTTTGAAGAGTCTCCTAATGCAGTGGGGAGAGCGTTGGCATACTAGCCAAGTGACATACATGTATCACAGGCCACACTGCATAAGGTGGCGTCTCACTGCTGGGGTTAATGCTCTCTTGCAGTGTTATCCTCAAGTCCACTTTCAACTCACAATCAATAAAACACCAGAGCTTTCACAAACCAGCAAATCAATTTTTACACCCCAGAAATGAATCAAAACTGAGGCTGCCAAAAAACAAATTAAAAAAGTAACTGTTAATAAACAGACTTCGAAGTACACAGCAAAATGCTTTAAGGCTTCCAGGAATAAAAAATAAATAAACCCCCAAAACTGTTCTTCATGTTAAGGCTGTGGATTTTCTATAAAACTGTACAATATCTTGCTATACAAAACAAACTTTGGACGGAATTGGATATGTAAAGTCCAAATGCACAATGCTCAGAAAAGGTGAATGCTGAAATTCATGTCTTGCCACCGAATGTCACCAGCAATTGTTAATCTGGATAAAAGTGAGGAGGAAGCAACCCTACGGTAGAGGAATACAAATGTGTGCAAAGAAAAGTCTTTAAAGTTGTCCTTCACAAAGGTGGTCCCTTATATCTTTACTATCTGAACACTGCTTGCCGTACAGGGGCAATAATCCCGAACTATTGCCTTGTTCAAGCGTCTACTGCCTTCCCTGTCTGGTTTCCCATCTACCTCCTGTGTATATCCCTGTGCTGTAACCTGAACTGCACTGCCATGCTGTTCATGCTCTGCGCGCTCAGGCTGTGGCTGTCGTACCCATGATCTGCCCTGAGGGATTGGTATTGGCGAGTCTCTGACTGTGGCCTGACCTCTGCCCTGTGACCTTTGGATGACCCTTTCCGTCGCTGTATGAAAGGACAAGCATCAATTTATACAATTACATTCTTCAGAAAATCAGCATGGTTTTGAATGCAAGGGTCATACTTGAAACTGTGTCAAAGGTGTACAAAAATAATGTTGATGACTTTTGTAAGTTTGAAAAAAATTAAGTTGCTGGATCTGCTTTATCTGTTAGGTTTTACTGAGATCTTGAGCGGCGAATCTGGTAACTACTAATGAGGAAAAGAAAACCTGACTATTATTTTGCAGTGACTGTGTATTAATAATCAGGCGTATATATAAGTCCACATGCATTGTAATCATCAGATGGTGTATGTCAGGCATCATTTTATTAAGAGTCACTAACCATACTGAATGGGGCGAGGGGGTGGGGGTACGTGATTCCTACAGGGAAAAAAAATTTAAAAAGAGACGAACGTTGTATTTGTAGACAAATGATAAGCTGTTTCGGGAAACTTTTTTGGTTTGATAAAAAAATGAAGTCGTTAAGTCCGCAGTTCAAAATTTAACACACACACATTCCAAAATTTGTATCCTTGTGGATACATAGCTTTGTTCTCCAGCGCTAACATGGTCACGTGTGAAACGATGTTTTCAAAATGCACCCATTTCAACATGAATCACACTCCTGGGCTGAAGTTTTGACCGAATGTCCCTTTTATGAAACACTTCAATTTGTGATGATTCTTACACATTAAAAATTGCTCCTTTTTGAGCAATTTCCAAATATCAGTTTCATGAAATCCTTGTGGAGACCTATACACCTTTAGAAATTCCTTGTGGAGACCTATTCAACCCATTCTCCTGGGTCTCCACAAGGCACCATATTCCAAAATAGTGTACGCAAGGCCCAATCGTACATGCGCTTCAGAAGAAACAGTGCATTTACCGGCACAAAACAGGCCAGAATCAAATTTGCGTCCGTGGGACCACTACCCTCCTTGCTACAGTAAAGCATGACAATACACGCTCACACACTTTCCCTGCCACGTGTTGGGCATTTTGTCAGATTCTCCCAAAATAGAAGGGCTCTGTTACACGCTTACCATGTACAAAGCATACGGCTCTTACTGCTACGGCTCTTACTGCTACGGCTCTTACTGCTACGGCTCTTACTGCTACGGCTCTTACTGCTACGGCTCTTACTGCTACAGCTCTTACTGCTACGGCTCTTACTGCTACGGCTCTTACTGCTACAGCTCTTACTGCTACGGCTCTTACTGCTACAGCTCTTACTGCTACGGCTCTTACTGCTACGGCTCTTACTGCTACGGCTCTTACTGCTACGGCTCTTACTGCTACGGCTCTTACTGCTACAGCTTTTACCCCCACGGGTCGAGTTGCCAGCATTTTCAGCTCATGGCAAGTTTTTTCATTACCCCTGCACGGCGTGTATGGACAATGCAACGAGCACCTTGGACACCTTAGACAATGGATGCAGATATTTACTCTAGCTTTTGATGGGCAATTGCAGGCTTTAGCTTTTTGTTATAACTTCCGGCTTGATGATGTCATCAGCCTGATTTTTGCAGAAAGGTTACAGACGTAAGGATCACTGTATTTACCAATTTCCAAGTGATACCAGCAAACTTCACCACAAACATCTCTACAAAATAGATTTTTGAAATTTTTTTAACTGATCAATAGAGGGCGCTTGAGTGTTGCATGACATCACAGGTGCATGTTTAGAGGAATACTGTTGTGTTGGAGACTAACACCGTTGAAAGTAGGTTCATATCTTTTATCAAATTTAAATGATAAGACACTTGTGGTTTTGACCAGGTTCAACCGGAAGTAAGGATCACAAGATTTTACATACACAAAAAACATTAGAAACTGAAGATTACTCTATCCCTTTGTGCAAAAAGAAAGCTGCAGGGGGTCATGGTTGATTTAATGTGGAATTTTGAAAATTTAACAAAAACAAAAGTGTAAGCGCTTGTAATTTGAAACCTGATGACGTCATCAGGACGTAATGCTTGTAGAAAATTTTTCATGTCTTAGGCTTTTGTTAGTGTAACTTTGATGAAGTTGCAAGATTGCCAAGTGGCCCGAAAGGGCTTTCAAAAACGTGTACAATACATATGGGGGCAAATTAAATTTTCAAAATTCTATATTAAATCTGGTGATGATGTCATGATGATGTCATGCTTCTATGCATATCTTCAGATAGTAGTCTAATTGTGTGCCAGGTTTGAAGGGAATCAGCCATAAGGAAGGGGCAAAAGTCGTTTGTAGAATGACCCCGTAACATGTCTATGGGGGAAAAAGAAAAACAAAAGCTGTTTGGCTAATAAAAACGGGGAGAGAGCGAAAGAATTGGAAAAGAAAGGAGGACTGAAATACCTAGAACTGACCCTTCTATGGTTTGCCACTTGACTGCTGATGAGAGCTTAGAGATACCCTCCTCCCCTCCAAATCCTGTCATACATGTATGTGTCAAAGTTTATTTTGGACAGTGACCTGTTCTCCCTGAGCAGATGTGTGTGCTATGGCGGTTTAACTTGGGCGAGTAAACAAAATGATTGTTTAAACCTTGCCAGGTCAAACCACCCTCACACTAAAAAAAGGTGAGATCGTTTGTTCAAGTCTACGAAATCCTCATAGCTACTTAGTCAATGCACCTCTAGTCCACAGTCACTGTATTTATCAAAATTAAGAGTAACGTGGCTGTCTTGTTTGTTATGCCTGCCCTACATGTATCAAAAATCCAGCTGCTTGGCAGTTGATGAAGGATCAACTGATTCAAGAGCCATGTGAGGCTGTGATAAAAAATGGTGGAAAACTTAAACCAAGCTGGCTATTTGCTTTTATCGGGCTACGCAAGTTTACAACATATTTGCCGAGAATCTTGATCACCAAAACGCATCCACACCCTCCTGCCATCAGGCAATTCTACAGTCTTGAAGAAATACGTTTCCATCTCGAGCAACATGTTCCCTCCCCCCTCGACACCCCTCCCCACAACCCATGCAGCGTGATCCCCAGCCCAGCCATCAAACTTCCATTAATGTGCCCGTCTCATCCACATCTCCACCATTACCTACTCCCCCCCCCCTTCATTTCTCATCCATCTCTCAACTAACTAATTGGCTTAGAGCTAAAAGCATCAGGTGGTTTGCTCTCATTCTTTTCATTCTTAGTGTTGGGGGGGTCTTTTTTTAACTGAACATTATGCCACATGCGCCATCACTCATTGGCCTGTTGAGAACGGTAGCAAAACATAAAGAACAGGAAGATTAGGGAGCCCTAGGGCCATGTGACGCCAAGTTCTAGCGGTCAGTGAACTCTCTTTTTGTTCTTTCTCCTCTCTCAAATCAACCAGGAAGAATGTAAAGTTCATAGTATCTTCTTTGCATTCATCGTACCATGCACGTCTTTTATAAGGCCATCGGTAGTGATATTTAAAACTGTAAGATAGGGTGCATTCAGACAAGGATGAAATCAATACTTAATAATCTGGGCATCTTCCATTCAGCCCCCAGAGGAACATTGTAACTCAATTATGTGACTCATTTTGGTAAAACCGTACTCGTCTCATTAGGTCAAAGGTCAAGTAGCAGCTCCATTGCTTCATTCAGAATTTGATGAGACTTCAATACGGCAACAATATTAGTAAAAGGAAGACCTTTACAAAGAAAGGGCTTGCAAAAGCAGCAATAGGTTTGCTTTCTTACACCAACTCATACGTCAAGCCTCATAAACCCCTGGGCATTGTGATGGGAATTTTTCCTGAATCCTGAATCCACACAGTGCAATGAACTACGGGCACATTCCCCCGCACTTTGGAATTTGCAGTCCAGCATTGGAGTTTAATGGATTGAGGTGGTTGGGGTTGATCATAATCTTTGCCAAAACGCTTGAAAGCCAAGCACCAAAATCCTGATTCCAAATTCTTCAGAAGGGTGTCTACTTTGGCAAAGGTACCCTTGTGAAACACTAAAATAGATCCTATCCATTAATTCCACCGCCTTCCCCTCCCAAAATATTAAATTCCTTTAAATCAGGTGCAGAGACAATTTTCCAAATAAGCTCAAGTTGAACGACTCTGCAGTGGACGACCCAGAAACTGTATTTTTCCCTCCCTCCTCCGCACTTTCCCCGGACAATTCTTTGCCGGCTCAGTCCCGTAAGCTGGTAGTCATGACGTCTCTATTCATTCAGAGACCAGACGAAAGAGACTCGGCTTGGGAGAGATCTGGCTTGGGAAAAGATCCCCCTTGCCTGGGCTTCCTCAAGACACTCCCGACTAGGGACTGACATTTTCCACCGCCATTCATCTTTGATGGGGCTGCGGCGGACTTCTGACGGCACGGTGTTTGGTTGCGGCTCGTGTCTAAGAAATTATCACTTGCGGCAAACCGGTATTTTTAACAAAATGTAACAGAGAAAGATGAAAAAAAAATCCTCAAGTGCCTCAAAGCGTGTATAAAATATTAAAAGACAGCGTGCAAAATGTAAGGTTAATTTAAACTGGCTGTATTTTTTTCTTAATGCAAAAAGTTGGGATCACCAAATCAAAACAAATCCTGTATCTTATAAATACTGGCAGAAATTTTGTTTTAAGAAGAGCAATATAGTATTAACACTGCTGTATTTCCTTAATGTTTGGCAAATCCAAGTCATGAAGTTATCAAGCAAGTGAGCTATTGCAGATTTTAAGGGGAAGTTGAGGAATGATTTGAAAATCACATCTCGCTAAATTTCAGAAACATGGCCAAAGTTGCTGACGAATTTTAAGAAAATCAAATTCACTGCAACTATAATGATTGAAATGAAAGAATAAAAACCAGGAATCAAATACATGTACATCACTGAATCAATTACAATGAATCAAACTGTAGCAATTAATGGCAAAAACATGAGAAAAATATCAACCCTCCATCTCTATATACATGTATCAACATAATAAATGTTTTTACCATCATAAGAACATCCCCCACCAGACGAAAATAACAAAATTAGTTTGATCCATTACCCACCATTCCAAAACTAGACTGCAGTATGGACATGTAACTTCCTATCCTGAAGTACTGCAACTTCCATCGTTCATGGAAGGTCCACTACTATCATTGCCCGTAACTGCCAAAGCTTTCTGCAGACAGAATTTAGACTCAGGATCACAGGGGAGAGGGGAAGAGGAAATGTCAGACATCATGATTACCTATTTCAGCCTGGTTTTTTTGGAATGGTGGGTTGTGGACTGCACTGACACAAACACAAGAGGTTTTTCTGAACTGACCTGGGTGTGGTTGAGGGGTAGGACGGTGGGCTTGGGCTGAATTAGGGAAGTCAACTTGTAGTAGTCCAAGAAGGTCTTGGCCAGGTTACGTCCCAGTCTCATGTCTGCCAGGGCTGGTTAAGAATCGAAGCATTTTTATACATTTTATTATGTGATGCATTTTTGCGGGGGGTAGGATGGAATATGAACCCCCACAGGTAAAAAAACCAACCTGAAAAAATACCTTTTTTATGGGCAAGACACGGAGCCAAGGTGCCAAGCCCAGAAGATAAGACCACAGCAAGATTGAATTTTTTTGGAGGGGGAGGAGTGAGGGGGTGTGTGGGGGGCGAAGAAAGGAAGGCTCCTCAACAGTGACCAATGTAATTACAGTGACCAAAATGTGACACAATCTGTGAAAACCTGCCACATGGTGACAATGGCTTGTTACCACGGGGTGCCAATGTGACTAACTTGGTGACCTAAATTAAAAGCCATTACTGTGAGGATAATATGCTTACAATCAGGCCAAAAATACCCATTCAATGCCTTTTTGACCGACAGGGCATATCAAGTTTTCGAACACTCACAAATGTGGTGGTGCAATGTAGCCTACAATGTACATGATCACTCTACTACAGCCAACAGCTAAATGCAAGTAAATATGAAAGCATGCCACCGCCTCATCCAGTCTGCTGACGGACACCCCATTCTTAAAGGATACATCCTTCCTCGTCGTAGGGCACCAGTGTGCTGCCCCCGTTGGTGGAATAGCAGAAGAATGACACCTCCAGCGTGTAGCACAGTGAGTTCTCGTCCAGGATGCCGCCCAGGAACCGACGCCCTGTCCCCGCCTTCATTGCATCCCGGTTGAAGGATGTGTTCATCTGGAACGCGGGAACAGAGAATAACAACAGTAAAGTGCACCTCCGGATGTTCGGCTTGGGAACTTGTGTGTTCATGCTGTGATCATTTCCTGCTGCAGGAATACCAACCTCTCACACCAAGGTTTGGAACATGCACTAATCTACCAATAAGCTTAGCTCTTTCCATTTCAGGCCTGTATCTGGAATATCTGAAATGAATTCTTCACACTTTCCGTATCCCAAATCCAGGATAGCCTGGACCCACATGCATTTGTACTCAGTATGTGCAAGCCCAACCAGTGTGTGGAAGTATGAACAGTAAAGTGTACAGAACTTAAATGTTTACATGCAGTGTAATGAGGCCTCGTTTGATAGTGTCGAAGTCTCTTAGCAGTTAAGCTATACACAGAAGAGTTTCCTATCCACATCAGTCAAGTTCTTATATAAGCAGAATTCCTGTGCAAGTTAAGTTCCTACACAAGTCAATGTCTATGCAATCGGTACGTTCTTCATCAAGTCAGGTTCCTGTACTAGTTAAGTTCCCGTGCTACACGTCATATGAAGTTGCCTTATGTGCTTTGTTGAATGCATAATTGCTTGTGGAAAATACACATGTACCTGTACTCCATTAAAGGCACAATGAACTCTAGATACATTAGCTGTTGGGCGCTATCCACCCCGAGCTGAAGTGCACCCCCAATTGGCGAAAGAAAGACAGGTGGTTACAAGCAGGTTCTTGCACGCGTTCTGCGTGTATGCAAAAACTATGCACACCAGAATAAATTAATTATGCATGCTCAGTGTGCTCCGCATTAAATGCGCAAATACTTGCACGCTTCATGGTGCACCTATGTGGTGAGTACCAAAAAAAGGCCCTCTTTTGTTCCGTTCGGAGCAGACAGCCCCTGAATGAATTAAACACTGCCTTCAATTCTTTTGCTGTGCAATAAGAAACTTAGGCAAAAATTAGGAAGTCAACTCAGAAACAAATCTGCGAAATAACTCCAAGAAATGCAATTTCAGTTAATGACATCATGGTTTTCTCACATCAAGCATTTAACAGCAACACATTTACATGTAATTGCAGGCAAAACAGTTTGCAGCCAACTCCATACCATTTTTTTGGTCATTAAACAACAAAATTGACTGAACTGATCCGACACCCACATCCTTCAAGTTAGCTGCTCGCCTCTATGCCAGCAGCTTCTCAATTGTAAATGTCAACATTCTACTACATGAAAAAACTAAGCGCCTTAAATATGCCCTCTGAATAGGAACTGCATTCAAAGTCATGATAATGGGGGCTTTTTGTTTCGTACGACTCTGCATCTCGATCAGTTGATCCCAAAGCTGGTTTGCACCATCCATTAGGCAGGTTCTAATGTCAGCAAACCAATGATGGACGGCCGATCATAATCCATGTCTGAGAAAGAAACAGGCCTATAAACACAGCTAATGCTGCAAACCTAACAAACAAAACCTGAGGATCAGTCCACAATGAAACTGAACAGAAGGCATTATAGCTGTAACACGGACTTTGAAAATACTTGTTGGATATAGCACTATTATTGTAAGTAAAACATAAATGTTGCTCTATAACTTGTATCTGCAAAAGAAAACATGCTAGAAAACAATTACAAATAAAATTTCTACCCGACAGTAACACATGCAATTTCTTCTACAAACGGTCGTCTATTTGTGATTTCAAACTCAATCTCTTGTATCTTTCCTCAACAGTAATACAAGCAGTTAACATGATAAGATTTTCTCTCTCCTAAATCAAATCTTTTCCTCTTATCCTCCCCTCTGCATTCGTCTTAATCAACAGCCAACGTTCCTCCAAATCACAAGAAAAATCTTAAAATCCGAGGTGAATGAACAGCCAAAAAAAAAAAAAATCCTGCACAAAACATCTGTCCTGAGAGCAAACTAACTCAAGAGAGAAACAGACAAAAAGAGAAAAAAAAGACGGCTTGAGGCCATCTTCCCGTTGCTTTTTTTACTTCTTCCTGCGTGTTTTTCATCTCTTCTCTTTCTGCTGCCCCGACAGCTCTCATGAAGCGTGCTGCCTGATTAGAGCCTTCAATTTCACATAATAGACCTAAGTACAGCAAAGTAGTGGGCTTTTAGTTCTAATTTGTGAATGCATGCCCGTCCCATTACCACATACAATTTCCTAAGGGAGCAATAAATGCAAAGATTTTTTTTATTCCACCAGGGGAAAAAAAATACACATGCAAGTTTCTCAGCTTAACAAAAACCTTATTACTTACTATTTTTCTGTTTTCCACTTTAGAAGAATTAGACACAATTTGGGCACATATTACGTTTTGTTGTAGTGGTTAACAGGAACACCCTGCAAACCTTTGGAAGTTGAAGAATTTGGTTTTGATGGAAAAAAAGTGGTACCTGTCAAAGTGCTACAGCGCCCTCGCTTGATGCCATAAAAGTTTTAATAGTTGGGCATTCAACATCACCTGAAGTGCCCCCCCCCAAACTTGACTTCCGATTTTGTCACAGCTTTACTAAGGGATTTGACCAGTTAGACTGCCATAGTCAAGGAGGGTGAAAATCTGTGGCTAAAATAAGCGTGCGCAATGACTATAACCAAGTCAAAAGTAAACCTCTGCATTTCCAAGAGACACTTGCAGTGGCAGCTTCCACTTTGCTTTACTCAAACATTTTCCTTACCAAATTCATTTACAGGATTCTTAAATCCAGACTTGAGAGTCATTAACTTGGCAAAATTAAAAAAAAAAAAACAGACTATTTTGATGGTGTCAGGAGAAAGCGGGAAAAGTATTACTAATATCAGTTTTTGGATTACAATTTGATTTTCTCCAAAACTGATGGTGAAGTCTCAAAGACTTTTCTAGATACGGTAAAACAAATTGGCACGGTAAAAGTCTGATGAGACCAAGCAGAATATCTGACTCACGTGCAACACAAACAAAAAAGAAGGAAAAAAAAGAATTCCACAAAGAATTTCAGTCAACAGGTGCCAGTGTGTATAATGTGGCCTGAATTGAATGAATCACTTGTTTGTGCGTCCCTGGTCCACTCTGTATGCCCGTTCAGAAGATTTGTCCAACTCGGTTCGTAATCAAATGCACTGTACAGTCATCGATGATCGCATGTGACGTATCAGACTATTCGTCAGCTCGGGGGGGGGGGGGGTGATTGGAGGGGGGGGGTCTGCGGACGGAACTACATTACGCCACTCATAGCAGCCCACAAGCTCCCAGGTGATCGAGTGTGACTAGTCCGGCGTTTCTCCCTCTCTCCCTGTAATGTCACCTGAGCCCACCATGTGTCCCCGAGACCTTTTTTTTTTTTTTTTTGCTTAGCTCTGGCGAGCCAGTCTGGACACAAAGTATCGGAATGTACTCTGCCATACTGTGACTCATGCCACTAAATTCATGCTTAAAAACACTAAATTCATCTGCGTCAAGGTTACGTCTCTCCCTCTCTCTTCATTTATTTTATTTTTTTTTCGACTATAGATTTGGCGCCAAAATCATCGCCAGGTGGATTGTCTGACCCTCTGACGTGTGACTAATTCTTAAATCTCCTACGACCCGTCGGGAAAATGTTCTTACCTCATAAATCCTGCCACAAAGATTTTTTTTTTTGGTCACTGCGATTGATATCGTCTTTCTTTTTTTCTATATATGTATTCGCTGCAACTTCTTCGTGACTCATACTGATTGTAAAGTTTAATACTTGATTCTGATTGGCTAAGGAAAAAATTGTTGAGGCTCCAAACTTCAAACAACTATTGTAAAGACATCAAAGTTGCACAAAGAAGCTTTAAACGAAATTAAAACCTGACAAGCTAAATTGGGGGAAATTCAAATAGCCCTGGCAGGAATAGATTACTATGTACAGACAGTGTACGTTTTGGAAGGCAGAATTTATTTTAAATGGCAAATTTCACAACCACACAAATACAGGAGAGGAATCAGAACGCTAGATCAAACAATTTCACATGCTACCACATGCATTCTTGACTAATAAAGGGCACGCAATGCTCGATGTGTCTTTGAAAAAAAAAATCTTTTCGACAAAAGAAAACAAATGATGATTGTGAAAATTTAGATTTGGAGAAAAACTAAAAGGATCATATTTCACTCCCACTTGACCTCCCCAAAGCATGCTCTACATATTACACAGAGTCTGTCATTAGGCAACGGTTGTCGGCGACAGCGGGCTTTCAATTCAATAACCCCCTTCATAATTTTTGCAGATTGCTGTCCTGTAAAAAAAAACATTAAGCATTTCTCAACTGATTTCTTCCTGGTGAAGATCTGGCTAAATTACAGGCAATTTATTTCAAGTCCAAGTGTCTACTTGTCATTCATATTGTCCTTCACTGCATTCATCTTTTTAAGTTGAAATTAATTCACTGCTTCAGGTATTATTAATGTTTGCCGATAATTGATGTCTAGTGACATCATCTCAAATTTTGTTAATAAACCAATATATCTTCATTTTTTTCAACTAAACACATTTTCAAAGGCTTACAAAATATATCAATCATCCAATTTAATTGGATTTAACAAGTGACAGACAGTAAGGACTAAGGAATACACCAGAAAATTCTTTGAACATTATATACATGTATCTGACGGACATTTTTCAAACATGTCCGCGAGGAAGAGTAGAAACCAGGGCTGATGTCTACCTACTTGTAAAACAAGCTGGAACGAGTTTAGCTTATGACAGAAAAAGGATGATAAACTGAGGGGTAATCACTGAGGATTCTTACAAATGGCATGTGTAGGACATCCGATCAGACCTGCTTTAAATGTACTGCGCTCTAATATAGAAGAAAAGTCTGGCTCTATGTGCATTTCAATAACCAGGTGAGCAAAGGCCGCAATTTCACAGCACAAACGGAATACGTCCCACGGAGGTTCAATCCTGTATAAACTACACCCCTACATGGAGCAATTAGAGTTGTCACTGGCCAGGAAGCGTTAAGATTGTGTGAATCGCCCTTGTGTAAAAAAAAAAAAAAAGGGAATAAATTGCATTAAAATTCTATGAAGACGGAAGTCCTTGCAATCACCTACAGCATGATCCAAGGCCAAGCTTTATTAAAAAGCATCACACAAATTATCTTTAGTCCTCCTTCCAAGCTCAATTATTACAAGGATTTCATTCCCAGTCCCCCACATAAAAATCAACAAATTGTTATGATACGACCAAAGAAAATTCAGATGTACAACAAGTGTTTGGTTAATCTGATTCAGGGTGCTTTATAGACTGAGACAAGTGACCTGTAAGATGATATGCTTCCTTCTCCCTACTGTCAGATCTTGGGGGGGGGATAGAGAAAAGAAAGTGCCACAACTGTGAGTCAAGCTGGACATGCTAAGAATAGAAGGACAGACAGATGCCTAGATTACCAACACACCCTTGTACTTCAGGGCCAGTTAGACGACGCAAGCACCCTTCAAATAATCCAATACAATCAGGACCGTGCCCAGAGCAATTCTCTCTCTATATATACACGTATACGTCAAAATGCCAAGGACAGATTACATTGAGGGGAAAAAAGGAGGAATTTGAATGTACTTTCACGAGTGGGGAAAGGTAAAGTCTGGCGTTCAAGGCTCCAGGAATGTCAAAGGGAAGAAATGGAGGGTAATTGCCCCACAACTTGTATTTGATGGTGGTCATTGGGGATACGTGATCGATAGAAATCACTCAGGTATTAGGAAAGTGGCTTGGCTGTGATCCAAGCTACTTTCTAACAAGAAAGCTTTTGAAACTTTTGGGAGTTTTTTTCTTACTCAAACATGTTGAAAAAAAAAGTTATAATAAAGTTGCTGAGTAGGCACTGCTACAGTCAGACAGGAATTTCACAAACTCTACAAGAGATAAATATCTGCTTTTGTCCTCCAAGTGTGCTGAGTGGAAAGCATACCATTCACAAGAATAACACCAAAATAACAAGCAGATTGTAAAATATGGTAACCTCTCATGAAGCAAAACTTGGGTTGATCTAAGAACATCCATCTGTAATGTTCACACATGCTGGCACTCAAGATCTCAATTCATTTTGGTAGTAGGATCTACACTTCTGTATTGAATCAATGTGTCAATATCAGTATTCCAACAGCGCATGCCCAGTAAGAGGCTTATTCGGAAACAGCTATGTGTGTGACAATCTCAGTATCAGCACAGCCACACATGTATGTTGACTCACACATGCGCTTTGTTCCCGAAAGACTTCACCTTTTTGAAATACCGAACTGGCTCATTCTTGTTCACTTTTCTGAGTCAGAGAATCAACTTGCTTCTTTGAAGTCTCCTTGGAATAACAGGTAAATCCTGGTTTGACTTGTGAGTCACTTATTAAATATGTTATACAGTAGCACAGTACATGTATACGATACTACCGGTATGAATGTACAGCACAAACATGTGGGCTTCTGGGACATTTATGACACCAGCTCCAGCTCTATCCGGGTCATAAGTGACTTCCTCACAATGGTGGACGCACCACGATTTGCAGGCTCTCATTGGAAAATCGCTGAAGTTGCGCGTTAACTTCCCGTTCCATGGTTCCATGTAAATGGCGATCAAAGCATGTAACCCTATGAGCAGTGCACGCGTGCAGTGGGTGTGGTTTAAACTGAAGTGACGTCACACGAACCAGATACTGAAGATGGGTCACTTATTAAAACAAGTTGAATCGTAGGTTCCACAAAATGGGGGGGTATTCTTGTCTGAGGCATACATTGTACTCTCATTAATACACTCTTGCGACAGCTTTTTGTTACTTTTATCAAAAGAAATCACCCTTTATCAAAGTAAATTTAGAGGAAATTTCGAAAAGCTCATCTGTTCCTATTTTTCTGAAAATGACCCTCACTCACCATTGAGAAGTCTTCAGCATTAGCACACATCAGCCTAGGAAAGACTGCTTGTTTCTCATAGCGCACAGGGTCGTCATACACATTGCCGTACATGAAACCGTTCATCAGTGTGGAGTGGGCATGAATGTCAACATAGAAGTCAACATCCATTTTCTGTGAGTAGTGAAAGGAACGGTGTACTTAAACTTTGAGTTTTATTTTTGAAAATTCACCCTTTGTAAAGCCACAGAAAAATTAAATGTATGCTCCTCGGTTTATTCTTAACCTGAATGGATGGAAAGAATGTATTATAACATATAACATACAAAGGGAATTTGAAAATGGCAGGAAAAAACACTGTTGCTTTCACTAAGCTGAGGTAATTACTTAATATATGCGTACACTGAACAACAACTCATATCCAAGTTTCTGTGATAAAATACAAATAATGCCCATGTTCTGGGATTTGAGTGGAGCTGATTTACTTATTTAGAAGACTTGTTGCTTCAGGACAAATTTCAGAATACTTGCTACCACAAACAGTTGGACAGTGAGGGTTTAGAGAATAAGCACAGCATAACAGTAGAGATATGGGGAGTAGATTGTCAACGTTTCATTTAATTTCATCAAAGTACCAAGAAAGGAAGACAGGCGATGCTTTTAAAGACTCTCATGCAAATAACTGACTTAGATAAAAAAAATCATCCCAATCATTTGTTGCCTACAAGTAGCATAATTGCACTGTCCCGAAACAACATTTCGATTTCTTCAATTTTGTCCAATTCTGGAATTTAGAGGAAAGATTGGTCAAGACTTTTTAAAGCATTTTAAATTCACAGAAGATCATGAAGTACACAAGCAGAGATACCAGCTGATACAAGGAAAAGTTGTTTGTTTACTTGCTCTCCTAGCTTTCTCCCACTTGGACTTTATGCATGCAACTAGGAAGTCAAAACAAGAAGGAAATGTATTGCTCACAAACCACTGCAACAATTTTAGAATTCTAATGGCATACATAGAGAGTACATAACCACAGGTAATCAGCTGATTGGAAGATGCTTTTATCTGCTTGTTTATTTGTGTCTCTTTTCTCGCCCAGTTCAGATGCCAGGGTGTCCCCGACCACATTCCAGTTCACCCGTAGGTTCCTTGAACTTACGCTGCTGGCATTCATGCCCATGAGAAGATGCTTGTTGGCGTGCAGAGTTGGGTGTGCCCAGGGCGATGGCTCATGCCAGTGTCGGTTCAGGTCAAAGCCCATCAGGGAACACCTGAGCAGGCAAGAAGGAGAGAGAGCGAATAAGAGACAAGGGAGATGGTCTAACAAGGTACATGTATCATCTCTATTGAACAGAAGGTTCAAAATGTTGCCACAAAGTTTGACAATGAGGCTTTAAAGGACGGCTGCTACTAAAAAAAAAAGCAATCAAGAAACTGTAATATTTAGATTTTTATTGCATTCGGTCAAATCCCAGGAAAATATTCATATGATAACTTGTTTTACAAACAAAAGCTTATCAAAGCCAAAATGGGAAGTTGACCTTCAAGATTTGTTACCATCTAAGATACATAAGATACCTACCAGTACACTGACAAGTTCCCATACATTTATCTGTTATCCAGAAACTTCCTCTCTCAACATCCAGCATGATTTCCAGAAGGACAGAAACATCTTTTGCAGCCTTTTCTACTTCCTGACCTCCAATACTTAGAATCAACTGCTTCCCCTTTCACCTATCCACCCATCCCTTATGATACCCCTCTCCTGGAGTCTCCCCTCCCCACACCTCCTGTTTGTCCTGACCTGTAGTTGCCCAGATAAACTCCGTCAGGATTCAGCATTGGCACAATCTTGAACACTACATGGTCCCGCAGCACTTTGGCTATTGGGTGTTGACTCAGTAGAAAGTCTATCAGTCCTGGGGAGAATAAAAGCCCAAGAAGGGCCAAATCATAACACTTTCTGGCAACTTTAAAATTCAGAGTGGCTCTTACGTCCACGGTAGCCTCAAAGATTCATTTAGCTGCATTCCAACAGTAAAAAGATGGCCTTGATAGGAAATAGAGGGATTTCACATTAGCGCCGTCTGCGCATATCTGCATCGAAACCGAGGCTCTCTGTGTTGAACTTCGTCGTGCGCGCCCGCGGAGTCCACACAGTACATGGAGTATCCGATTTGTAAGTGTGACGCCACTTCAGTTTAAACCACGCCCACTGCACAAGATACACGACCATCGCCGGTACGTTAGTTTGCGGTCAATTGTCGCTATTTTTCTTTAGATTTTACATGTCAAGTGTTCCTGAAAAACTCTTCCACAAACATTTCCAGCCTGTAAATTCTGAATTTAACATACCTTTATGTATTTTGTGTCTTGACTCCTCACTTTCAAGCGTCTGATCGTATTAAGAATTGAAGCTGAAACATACAGCCTTGTTTTTAAACGCGGAAGTGCGCAGATCGACGCTAAAAGCGTCATATTGGGACCCCCCTATGGCCACAGTGGAAATGTGGCCATAATGGGCAGGTAGCAATGATGGGTTCAAAGTGGCCACAATGGGCAGGTGGCCACAGTGGTTAAGTGGCCAAAATGGCGAAGTGGCCATAAAGAATAAGTGACCAAAATGCACAAATGGCCTCACAAGAAAGGCAGCCAAAATGGACAATTTAATACAACTGTCACATGGCCACAATAACCATGCAGCCTGCAATGAATGGGTGACTGTAATGAACACATGGTTAGTGTGTTTCAGCTGAAAACATCAGACACTTGGCCATGATGAACCAGCAACCAATAACAGCCCAACTTGTTTTCTTCAACTATGCCAAATGAAAAAAAGAACTACATGACTAGCATTCATGCAGGTAGACCACCAACCTTGACAGACATATGATGCAGGTGTCTCTCCTGGATGCACCCTGGCTGTTATGAACACAACACGCTGTTTGACGTCGGGCTCAAGATTTTCTGCAAAACAAACCCCCCAAACTCCAATCATTTTCAAGAATAAATACACGTACTAGAATCCACAACCCCTGAAAGGTAGCACCTTTTTCTAGTGGCACTTTCATTTTTTTAAAAAGGTTAAACATGGGGGGGCTTGCTAAAGCCGTATCCCAGCAGCCTGGGAGAAAGACTCCTAGGGTCTGCCAGGGTGGGACTCAAACTCACAATCTTCTACTTCCTAGTACAGAGGGCTCAACAGCTCAACCACTCAGCTCAATGGATTTGGCTGGCAACATTAGTGTTGGCCCCACAGCACCTGAGATGCATTCCACCGATTGGGCAAAGCTGCCATGATTAGTGAAGGATTTACGACAGGATACATACAAAAAGATTGTAACAGTGGAGGAATTTAAATATGAAACATAGGCGACAAGAAATTGGAACAAATACCTGTTTTTCTTGATCTCAGTGTAAATCAAATTATTCATTTGTTCTTTGTAATGACTTACAACTATTTTGACTTATAATTATATAATGACTTCTTTGATTGGTTAATAACAACAAAAATCTCTGGTGTTTTTGCTTGAGAGTAAATTACCAAGTGCCAAAGTGGCCATTACTTAAAGCAACACTGAATTCAAGTTTGTTTTTAAATTCTGAAAATATTGTCAAGTTTTCTCAACAATGCCTCGGCAAGATTTTTAGATAAAAATACCCTAGGCCAACAAATAGTCAAACAGTCCTAGTCAACTCAGAATGCATCTCCATCGATAAAATGAGTACTTCACTACAAGAAGCTGATTGAAAGAGAAAAAAAAAATCTATGTGATTCGATTGTTTTCCCCCAAGGGGGCAGAGGGGAAATAATTCTCATTCCAAGAGTCCATGGTGTTTGGTAGTGAAACATTTCTGCACTCTTGAAGCTTTTAAACTTTCATTTCCAGAGAGTTCCGCAAACACTACACGTGGCAATTTTGCTCTCCACTCTGTTGATCTAATGTGTCACTCTCCAACGACTTCCTTGAGGATATAAAGAGATGACAACTTACGTGGAATATTTTAGGAATAAGTTGTAGAGACCCCCCCCCACACACATGCCTCCCTGCATGTGTTGTACAGTCAACTTTTCTGGAGTCATTGACATTCCTTTTCCAAAAAACGTTCATTTTTCACTAGGAAATACTGGATCCTTATTCAGATTGAACATCACAGTGAGAGTTAATTAGAAAGGTTTTGCATTTCATGTTGTGGAAGTCGGCTACAATAACCGTGAACTGTGTTTTCTGTAAACCCTTCCTCCACAAAAGAAATACATGAGATCATTAAAAAGCACGCATTTGATGGACACGTTCTGAAGAGGATACATTTCAGTTCTAATGTTCTGTATCTTCTCAGCAGTGTTGCAGCCAATTTCACACCAAGTCTGGTCACAAGTGTATCAAAAGTTGTTTCACTAGTCTGATCAAAAGTAAACAAGGGAGTAAAACATGACTAAGTAAGCTTTGGCCACAGTCTGACTAGCTTGTGTGGAGACTTTGGACAGAGTAACTTGTGAGGTTTTGCAATGGGCTTGTGAGGACCTGTGATTGACTTGTACGGACTGATGATGGATTGCTTCTCAGTCCACACACTACAAAAGTTTTTTCCCAAGTTCAAAATTCCCTCCTTTCAAATTTTGTTAATTCATTTCCATTTTTCACGAACAACAGGTCCTATTCAGCAGAGTGAGTTGTTTTTTTTACCTTGCACCTTTTTTGGCAAGTGATTCATCTTTACAAACTGAAAAAGTCGGAAGGTGAGCAATAGAAAGAACACATTACCAGGGTACCCAGTATACTGGGTTCATGGCTGAAGTTCAGCAGTTTCCTGTATATGAAACCCCCAAAATAAAAAAAGTATGGATATGTCCTCAAATGCACACCCAGCACTACGAGGTGTTTAGTTCTCTTTGCGTTACCAACTTATTTTTGTCCCTGTTTTGTTTTTTTAGTACAGGCCAATCCTTTCCCACCACACCGTCTGTCTCTGTCATCTGTCATTACAGCCACAACAAGGCTCTTACTCATGTAACTGCATCAAATACATGTACTTCCAGGACAGGTTTCAAGAGGTCTTGACACGTTTCGAAATCTTACTAAGGAACAAAAAGCATGGCTGAAAGGAATGCGGACAGGGCAGCCAAAAGGATTATGCCTATTTCCTGACTGAGAAGAAAAGCAACTTCAAAAATCCACGCAAAAAGAAAAGTTCCAAAATGAGCAAGAATGGCCCCAAGCATTTGCACCGGTAACAACGCGGGCAAAAAGAAATTCTGTATATTTTTTTCATGGCGGGGGGGGACGGGGATGAGCTTCCGGTGGTGCAAAGTTTGCCTTGGGAAGGAGCTCAGAAAGACTGTGCATGGACAAGAAAGGCTCTTTCTTGTACTGTGGTCGAAAATAAATGTCATGGCATGCTGCTGGCTGTGACACCTAAACCAGCGGCGGGCACTTCACGTCGCTGCATGAAAATTCATGGACATCTCCAGGACTGGTCCATAAAATTCAAATTACCTCTCTTGACTTCAAAAGCAAGTCAGGTAGACAAAGAAAAGTTAAGAAGAAAAAAAGGAAAGGAAAAAACCTGAGGTGCGGGCATTTTTCAAACAAACCGCGCAGAACATGAAAAGGGGCGAATTTTTTGAAGAGGGAAAAGCCCTTCGCTGCTTTACATATTGTCCGTGGGATCGCTTGGAGGGAATTATCCAGCTGATTTTGAAGAATGATTGGTCTGTGACCACGGCTAATGTGTCTGAAGTTTTAAATGTAGCGGCAAGAACCAAATGAAAAACAAATCAAACTAAGCTGTCAATTGCTACGAAAGCTTTATTTTTGTAAGAAATCATCCACTGAAGACAATACAATGTCTGACCATGCTCAGTGGAAGCAATAGGACTGTTTAGAAATTATTACTTTGGCTTGTCAAATGCATTGAAAAAGAGATTTGGGTGTCAGAAAGAGTAAATCTCATGTCAACACTGATTGCTGACTACAAATGGATTGAGGGTGTGCTGAGCAAAGACAACTTGCCGAAAATAAAAACCCTAAAATTGTACATTCACCGTTTGCTCATCTAGTATTCTTCTATCTGTTCCCCCTCCAGCTTTGGCTTTCAGGACCCCACAAACATCCTCTAAAAGTCACCCTTTCACCCCAATTACAAAGCCTCCCCCTCTCCCAAAGCCATTTGGAAGGTTCCGTTTAACCCCCTCTACCTTTTTTCTTCTCTTCACTCGTCAATCTCTCCAAAGGCTAACTAGCCGTTAATCAGTGCTGAATGCATTAGAGGTTAAAGGCATGCTAATGCATGGCCGACTGAATGCACCACGCATTAATGACTGCAGGAGTTTAATTAACGCTGTCGTTCGATGATGAAAAGAAAAAGGAGATCTATTGAGAGGTGAGGAGACAGGGAAAGAAAAAAAAATTTACATCTTAGCCCTGAGGAAATTCAGCTCAGGTTAATCTCAAGTCAGGCTGACTGCATAATATGAATGATATGACAGGAAACGACATGAGCAATCAGTACACAGAAATCGTTCCTGCGATGCTACAGGCTATTTCCTCCGGTCCGCCTTTTACGAAATAAAAGAGAAAAGTTGACTTGTTTTTTACTTAATCGCAAATTCACTGGCTCTAATTTGCCCGATCTTGCACACGCGCGCATTACTGAACCTGAGCATACATTACACTCAATTAGTATTATCATGTACCTGTATACGGCATATGGTTACAGCAGAGATTCATGTACGTGTGGATTCATGCAAGTACTACACACTGTTAACATTTGTCTTTCTTCAAATGCAAAAACAACTTGACGAATACGACCGTGCCTTCTAGCATTCCATGAAGGTACATCCAGGCTTTTTCAGCAGAAATTCAAGCTAACAGGCTGTTTAAATTCTCACGAAATATAAACCTTTGAAAGTATTTCACCATTTCACAGAGGCCTCCATTAAGAAATGCAAGTATGTCACTGAAAATGACCCTTGTCATTTTGTTGTCTGTGTAGAGTTTTAAGCAGTGCTTTTGAGGTTCAAAAAGTGAGAACATATAATTCAAAGAAAAAGGTTTCATACGGGTGGAGGGCCAACAAGATTTCAGACCATCTATGATGGGAAATCACCCAAGACTGTCAGCTTCTATGACATTTCACTGACTGGACAAGGCAATTATCCTGCAATCAATTCTGCATTAGGTCCATCTACATGTAGATGTAGAACACCCTACACGTACATGTACTTAACCTTCGGTTTATCGTGAAATCTGAGAATCTAAATCTTGAGATCCAAGTTGATGATTCCATCCCATTTCAGGAACTTGATCAACTACAAAGCTATGAATCATCCTAAGTTTTGCTCCTTTTTTTTGCCATTTGTGATGGATGTCAGGACGGGACGAGGTAAATATGGGGGGGGAGTTAATTAAACAAAAAGAGTATTTTCTCCATGGTAGAGATAGAATGGGGCTGGTCGCCTTCTCTATCTCACAAAAACAGAAATGCTGTAAACTAGGAAAGTACCAGTATCTAACTGAAAAATGGCAAAGACAAGAAACCACAGACAGCATGACAGAAAAATAATGATAAAAAAATGAACACTTTTTCAATTTCTATTTAATTTGGTTTCTAATATCAAACATTTTAAATCAAAAATTAAAAATCAGTTTAAAAATGGGCATAGAGCGTCATTCATAAGTAAATACAAGTTTGTGAAAAACTCCTTATTATTTCCCTTAAGAAAAAGGAAAACTACCTAATTCTCAAAAGAATTTGGTATCCATTAAAATACGACGAATGACTAATCTCACAAATACCTTGGATAAAAATTCATGGGGGATTCCAGTCGATGGAAGGGAACTAAACTCGAGTAGTCGATTTCAGATTCTGAGTCAGCTCAATTGAGGCATGGGGTTCCCCCCAATAGACAAGGCCATCCACAGCCCTCAACCTGCCCCCCATCCCAATAACCCCGAGTACTTTAC